TGAGAAAACTTCACACTATACTGCTCTCTCTAATCCATATTAGATGTTCCCCTCGGGGAGTATAACTTTGTAATGGGACATGTAATTATTGCATTGTCCCATTATTAAAATAACTAATTTGTCCTTTTAAATTTGAATATTTATATAATCAACTTTAATTTTTTTTTATTTTAAATTTAAGAGTATTTTATGAAAAGATGTAAAATATGATATTTGACTTTAGAAAATGGACAACTAATTTAAGACAACTTAAAAAAAAAAAAGATGGACAACAAAATTGAAAACATCCTTTGTGTGTGTGTATATATATATATATATATATATATTTGGATGTGACGAGTCATGTTTTGGTTAGAGCATTTCTGGTTGTTGCTAGCTCCTAGCTATAGTATGTATCACAATTGTATATTGCAACTGTTATCTTTTCATTTTCAAACTTAATGTGGTTCATTTCTTTAAAAAATAACAATAAACTTTTAATCTCATTTTTGTGTGACAAAAAAATTAAAAATGAAGAAGATAAAATTCCTATTTTTTAAACTAATTTTACATTGTGAAAGATTTATAAATGTTAGAGACTGTTTTTTTTTTTGTTGGATGGAAAAGAAAATATTCAGATAATACCTTATTTTGTTTTTTATAAAAAAAGTTTTATAATTTAAAAACTTTTATAATCCTTTTTTTCCCGCCTCTTCAATCCATATTTGGAATGATGGAAATTTGTAAAAGAGTAAGGAGAATAATTCATCCATCCTCTTTTCTCTTCTTTCATTTCCTCATTTATATTAAATGAAAAAAGTTTATTTGTTTTTTGATCTTTCATCTACCCTTCTTCCTTCCTTCTTACCAAACAAAGCATTAACCGTAAAAGCTCTAGAGCGCTTTATGTCTAACCAAAAGTCAGAACTCGTCGAAAGAAAAGATATCTATTATGAAAATTTTCTATTTAATTTAACTAGAAAAATCATGTGAGAGAAGAAAAACGGGATTTTCTCGTTTGCATTGAGTTATGAGTGTTAAGTAGGTGTACTCATTTTTTTTTTTTTTTTTTTTTTAAATTGGCTTATGTTTTAAATTAATGGTATAGATTCTCAATATTAGAATTCCGAATTCTTCACATTTAATTAATGATTTAAAAATATATAATTTTAGATGATTCACTTGACTTTTCACAAATTAAAAAAAAAAAAAAAATCATTTTCTTGTTCGCAACATCTACTTTAAAGTTTTTAAAATTTTACTGATTTTGCTTTCAAAACTTTAGAAATAGAATGGATTTTATACCAATAATTTGAAACTTTAGACTAATAATGAAATTTGAACTTTAAAAAGTTTTTCCTACTACTCTTCTAAAAAAGTTGTATAGTTTTTTTCTAAAATATCCAATAATGCACATAGTAAATATTTTGACATCATAAAAATTCACAATTAGTTCACCCAATCAACTCAATCAGTTGAAGATCATCAGAAAAATCAACAAAGTGGTGGAAGAGCTTTCAACAATGTTTTTTTGAATTTTTATTCCATTCACACTTGATACGAGATAACACAACTATGAGTGTTAACAGGCCTAAAATCTAACAGGTTTTAATTACTTCAAATTAAAATAAATAAATACATAAAGTTAAAAGAAAAAGGAAGCACTTATTCTTCAATATTTTTTGAATTTTTATTCTATTAAACACTTTGATAGTTGATACGAGTGAACACAACTAGGAGAGGATTTCACTACCCTTGTGGTATGTGTCACAAAATTATACAGTTGATGCGTTGTTTACGGACAACGTAAATTATATAGCTATACAACAAAAAATATTTATGAATACACACATTGAATAATATTCAACAACAAACATAAAAAAATTAGAGTAATGTCACTAACTTACTATGCCCAAATTGGACTTTCGGAGCTCCAATAAACACATATTTAACAGTAACTTCTACATAGTAATCAATAAAATATAGTCCATCTTTTTTGAAGTACTTATTTCAACAATTGTCATATTAGTCAATTATAAAAATCAAGCGAAACTTTTATAATTTTCCTGAAAATTAACTCCTCAAATTACAATTATTGAGTTTTGTGTGTGATCACCATCACCTTTCCACATCAATAGTTTTCAAGATTAGAAGATTAATTAATGGCCAAAACAAACCCAACGACCCACACTAGTTCTTAGTTTGGAATTTAGTCACACAGTGCATCACAATGCAACATCATACTTACACACACACGCATCAGCTTTTGCTTTAAGGGACTTGATAGAGAAATCCAACAAAAAGCAGCTTATATGGGGTCCTTTGGCACCTAAAAGAGTATTAAAGCTAGAGAATTGTAGACCATACATAAATGAACACAAAAAAAGTAAAAAAATCACTTGGGAGTGTAACTAATAATTATTCCTGGTCTTTGAAAAAAAAAAAATTATAGAAAAATAAACACATCACACAAAAAACATAAATATTTTTACGAAGTGCGACAAAACCAACGTCCACGGTAAAGATTCGACAAAAGTCTTCATTACGTGTAAAATCGAAAATTACAAGTTTCAGAGCCTCGCTCCCTCTCTCTACGAATTTCAGTGTCTCTTGATAATCACACTTCAAACTCTAAGCGCTCTTATATATCGAGTTCCAAGAGAGTACTAATTAGGATCCACGATCCACAAGCAAAAACGTGACTTGACACCAAATTCAGACCATGGCATCACAGAAACAAATGCTGATAACTCCAAGTGATGACACCAATTAACCGATTATTGCAATTTCAGTCCATACATCACAATTCTTTCTTCTTCCTTTTTTTTTTTTTCAATAAAAAAAAAGAAGTGCAACACGAGTATCACAAACATGTTGGCAAGTGAAGTATGTATCACGATTCTTGTTTAAATCAAGTAGCCAAAGTGGCTTTGGCTGTGGGAAGACTTGAGAGTGCATACCATATCAAGTGGAAGTTTTTGTTGATAATGCATATAATGATAAAAACAAAACTACCACAATAAGTGCAATACATTTGTAATAGGCTTTCCAATAGAAAAATAACTTTAATCTTTAAAAAAACAACACTAAATCTTTTACAATATAAGAAGCAAGCCTTTTAGGTCTTGTCAAAGTCCACTTTCTTTCTTTAGTGTGCATTACCCTGAACTTCTTCCTTGTTCAGACCTAAAATAATTATTTATTCCCATCCCACTAAATATACACACAACATGTTTCACATACCTTTTCTTTCCAAAGTGTTCTTTGTCTCCTTCACTTGGTGGCACCTTTCTAAATCAAGCCATAGTGCATCCATCATGTTCACACCTAGCAAAAGTGGGATTTGTTAAAATTAAGGAAGACCCATGAAAGATTAAAGAAATAGAAATGAGCTAGCAGATATTAGATTGAAATTACATGACAGACTATGGTTTAATTCAATCAATTTCATTCTTTGATTGGAGGCATAAAAACGTATATACATACTAGAGTTTGTAGTTATAAACTAAGTCACACAATCTTTCCCAACAGGTGTTACTCTTATGCTTCGAGCGCGCTCTCGCTCAAATTCTCACTGTTTATGGCCAAAAGATGTGGCGTTGCAAGCTCGTCGCTGATTTGAAAAATTAATGCAATGTTTGGAAAAATCGAATTGACAAATTCATAACACTGGTTCAATACTCTGAAACGCAACATAAAAAAAATTCCAACACCAAAACTAGTGATTTTATGGGGAACCACCAATATTCATGCTTGAATTTTCTATGGATAAAGGAAACAAACAAGGATATATTGAAATTGGCGAAAATTGGGATTTGATGAGAATGCTGCTGCTAATCCTTCAACCTCTCATCACACAGACTAAAATTAAGAAGATCTCTCTCTCTCCACATTCACAGACTCTTAGTAGTTGTACTTGTTTTCTCTAAAAATATATAATAACTCTCTAAATATATCCTTACAGGTAATTCCAAGTACTTGTTTGGGTAAGAGTATTAATTAGTAGTAACAACTCCAACCAATAAAAGATGGCAATGGATTGAGGAATGAATTAATAAATGAGATGGGGCAGAGCTAGTAGGTAGGTATAGGTTAAAGCTAGGCCTGGGGAGAAAATTGACAATCTCACGCTCCCGCTTTCGAATTCGCTCTCGCTCTCGCTCTCGCTCCCGCTCTCGCTCCCGCTCCCGCTCCCGTTTTCGAATTCGCTCCCGTTTTATGTGACTTAAGTCATAAATATTAGGCTCCTACAAGTTTCACAAAACAAGATGTAGTCAGCGCGCCAAGTGCTGCAATCCTAACAATGGATTACACTGGTTCATAGATCAACATGATGTATCATGCAAAAGCGACTTGAAAACAAATCTGGAAATCAGAAATCGAATTTCTAAGAAAAATAAGAATTTGACAAATCAACCAATAAAAAGTTAAAAAAACAAGATAAATAGAGACTTCAGACACGATCATCAACTTTTAATGCCCAAGCAGGAAAAATGGAAAAAAAAAAAAATAAATAAACATCCACCGTTCATGTTAAATTGAAGATTTACTGGAGGAATTATTGGAGGAAATCCTCCGGTAATTGATATTGTTTCTTATCTCTCTGTTTCTTTTTTCCTCTCCTTCCATTCTGATCGTTTTCTTCTCTTATATAGACGAGCCTCCATCATTATACTATGTATGAAAATCAGAGAGAAAAACATATCAGCAACAAATCATCACGTAATATCTTGTGTTATTTTTAACCTATCCTATTTGTGACCTAAGCAGTCACCATCCTGACCAAATACCAAAAGGATATGTTTGGAAGCCATGGAATTGGAGTTTTGAAATTGAAATTTGCGGAATTAGAGAGAAGCAATTCAGAAAATTGAAACAAATTTTTTTTTAATTTTACCAATTCCAATTCCAAAGCTCCAATTTAATGCCGCCAAACACTGCCAAAGTGCCTTTCACAGTGACAGCTATTGATATCAAGATCAAAGTAACATTTACTATTGATATGTGAGAAACTCGTGGTCATGAAATTTCTGTGTAGTCACACCAGTCAATGCAAACTAACTATTTCTTCCCAAGTCTGGCATATAAAAACGGGTTATGAGGAATAAGAGTTTCATATAGAAGTTCTTTGGAAGAAGGTTTCGAGCTCAGATGGAACTAACAAATATTGGAAGAAACATCCAGACATCATTTCAGCAACATAATAGAAGCATTAGAAGTAGTCATTCAGATTCAATAAGAGAGGAAGATGAAGTTGAATTGCAATGGGCTGCAATCGAGAAATTACCTACCTTCAAACGGCTCAGAACATCACTGCTTGATAGTAATCACGACAATGGAAGCAGAACAGAACTCGGAGAGAAGAGAATGGTTGATGTCACGAAGCTTGGGCCGCTCGAACGACATCTGTTCATCGACAAGCTCATAAAGCACATTGAGAATGATAATCTCCAATTGCTTCAGAGAATGAGAGAGAGGATAGACAGGTAATCCTGCTTTTCAAATTCTGATAAAAAAGCTGAATATGATCAATGGTAGTCAAATTCTCAGAGATTGAAACTTCTTGTCATTTTTATGTGGAGAGGTATCCAGAAACAGCAAATGATCATCAACAAAGCACCCCCATCAAACTATTGAATTGGCATGTCATTTTATAAGTACCATATCGACCATTAATACGAATCTTCTACAAAATGGAATAAGAAATTAAACATTAAAACAGTCTAGCTCCATCTCTAGCTCATCTATTGTAGATGTTCTTCATGGATTCAAGTGATTTGATCTAACCAACCTTTGCATGTGTTCCTCAAGCTAAGCTCCTTCAGGCATACATACATATATATATATATATATATATATGTATATATATATATATATATATTTTTTCATATACCCTTCAGGCATATTCTGAATCACATCATTACACTTAACTAAAAATTTTCTTTCAGAGTTGGCGTAAATTTACCTACTGTTGAGGTAAGATACAAAAATCTGTCTGTGGAAGCCAAGTGTGAGGTAGTTCAAGGGAAGCCCCTCCCAACACTATGGAACTCTCTTTTAAGCATGATTACTGTAAGTAGGCTTCTTCTACCCCGATCTAATTCGTGCAGTACCTTGGCATACTGGCTTCATCCTGCTAAAACCATTATCTCTGTAACAAAGAATATAAAACACAATTAACAAGTTCTAAAGAAGCTCTTGTATCTTTATTAATTAAGATGCAAGTCCTGTGCAATCAGCTTAATGGGAGCATCATTTAACAGGTTTTTACAAAGGTATTCCGGCTCACGCATCAAGAAGCCAAGATCAAGATCCTAAATGATGTTAGCGGCATCATCAAACCATCAAGGTAATATGGATAAATTTATATATAAATCATATATTGGACAAGGCATATAAAATAATCAGGAACTTTAATCTGTCGATATAATTACTTGCAATGCTAAGGAAATCTGAATATTGTTGTTGGCTAATACAAACATATAATACTCAAATCAACTCAATAAAGACTCGTTCCAACCATTGGGGTCGACTACAGGAATCCTGTTTCACCATTCTGATTTGTCTCAAGTCATAAGTTTAGTCAAACCACATGCTACCATAACTTACCTTACCATCTAAATCCATATTAATTTTGTTATTCTCATTTCCCTATCATGATCTTCAAGGTGGATAAGATTTACTCTTCTCCAATACTGCAGTAATTAGCCTTGTTGCACATGGTCAAAACATTTATCTCACTATTTATTTCCAATTTCAATACAAATATGTACTGTTGTGAACAAGTAGTTTAACAATTCTAGAATTCCATCTTCGTTAACATAAGAACGAAACCCATCTTCAACGAGCTACAATTTAGACTGAGTATCCAAGAACATCACCGAAAAGAGATGGCTTAGCAACTTCCTGATATTACAGAACTTTAAATGGTCCAGCAATTAGATTGATATTCCAAGCAATTTCCTTCACCAAGTGGTTAATTTTTTATAAGTTAGATCATGTTGTGCAACATGGTTACTTTTTCATTTCCCTTAGAGAAAAAATACCTAGTGTTTAATATAATTGTACTAGGTGAAGACAGAAAAAAAAAAAAAAAAAGTTTGGCTTTGAATTGATCCATTTCATCCAAGTTGTTTAATACGAAAGGATGAACATGAAATGTTATAAAAAAAAACTCTAAAAAATCAGGTTTTCATGTTTATGAAGTAAAGGGAAAAAAAAGAAAGGAAAACGAAAACTCTACTCATGGAAGATTGCACTTGATGCAGGCTTACTCTTCTTCTTGGTCCCCCCGGCTGTGGGAAAACCACCTTGTTATTGGCCCTCGCAGGAAAATTAAATCAGTCTCTCAAGGTTAGTTGTTCAATATATTGTCTCTCAAAATTTCAGAAAACTAAATGTTATAAAGAAAAAAAAAAAACCTTAAATGATGATGAGCTATCATCATCATTATCATCATCCTTGCCTTTATCCCAAAGAGATGGGGTTGGCCACATGGACAAACAAACAGTTTCACACCTCCATCTGTGCTCAAGTACAACAGGTGTATGAAATTGTGTTAGATCCAGTTACACCTCCCAACCTCTATGCTATAGAGAAAATAAGAGGAAAAAGGAAAAACAAACATTAATAGCAGTCAGATTAATGCATTATCATAAACACTATCCAATTTATAAGGATTCTATAAAAACAACTCTTACTCACAAATTTAAACCAGTGCCCATCATTACAATATATATAATGTGAATTCTCTCTTTTCAGGTCACAGGCGAAGTCTCTTACAATGGTTACAGGCTACACGAGTTTGTTCCGCAGAAAACATCAGCTTACGTTAGTCAATATGACCTACACATACCAGAGATGACTGTGAGGGAAACAGTTGATTTTTCTGGACGATGCCAGGGTGTCAGTAGTAGAGCAGGCAAGCTTCCTTCACCTCTTAGTACTTCTATTATTACTGTAATTACACCCATGTATCAATACAAAATTATTAACTTTCATATTTGGCTATGAAGAAATCATGATCGAAGTTAGCAGAAGAGAGAAAGAAGCAGGCATTGTGCCCGATCCAGACATCGACACCTACATGAAAGTAAATATAATTATATACAATTATTTTAACTTTATCTTCTTCTTTTTTTATTAACTCTGTTGAAAGTTTTTTAGATATTGACATAGTTTTGAGCAGGCAATCTCAGTTCAGGGACAAAAAAGAAATATGCAGACTAATTATGTTCTCAAGGTAATTTTTTCTCTTCAAAACAGAGATCAATATGGGTTATAAGCAGTTCATAAAGATATATTGACCAACGGTAACATGAAACTACAACGTTATGGCCTTCAGATCCTCGGACTGGATATCTGTGCTGATATAATGGTTGGTGACGCAATGAGAAGAGGAATTTCAGGTGGCCAAAAGAGAAGACTGACAACAGGTAGTCAATGAAAAAAAATCCATGTCTAAATAACTCAATTCCACTTAGACCTCAACTAGACCATACGGCAACCATTTTTAAATGACTAGAACCTATTTCTAAAAAGAAAATACGACAATTTTCGATGCAGAAGTTTTATTCTTAACGCTAATTTTTTCTTGGCTAAACCATCTGGCAGGAGAGATGATTGTAGGTCCCATAAAAACTTTATTTATGGATGAAATATCAACTGGATTAGACAGTTCCACAACCTTTCAGATAGTAGCATGCCTCCAGCACATGGTGCACATCATGGATTCAACTGCATTGGTAGCACTCCTGCAGCCATCTCCGGAGACCTTTGAACTATTTGATGATCTCATATTGATGGCAGAGGGGAAGATTTTATATCATGGTCCTCGGAGTCATGCACTCCAGTTTTTTCAGGATTGTGGTTTCAAGTGCCCAGAAAGAAAGGGTGCAGCAGACTTCCTCCAGGAGGTGAGTAAACACATTCTGATATGCTGTTAATTGCAATGCCCTTATTGCAAAACAAATGTATATGTTAATTATTTTCAGGTAATCTCGAAGAAGGATCAAGCACAGTACTGGAGCAGAACTGACATTCCATACAGTTACATTTCAGTGGATCAATTCTGCGAGATGTTCAAAAAAAGTCATCTTGGAGAGAAGCTAGATGCGGAGCTTTCCAGGCCATACAATAAATCACAGTGCCCTAAAAATGCCCTGTCATTTAGCACTTACTCCTTGAGCAAATGGGAACTATTTAAAGCTTGCATGGCGAGAGAGTTTCTTCTCATGAAGAGAAACTCCTTTGTATATGTATTCAAAACAGCACAGGTAATATTCTATCCCGTGACCCCTTTGTCTTGTGTTTTCTACTATTCACTTCCAATCCTGACTTATGAGCTTAAATCCATGATTCCACAGCTTGTAATAATCGCATTCATGACAATGACAATCTTTATACGCACACGGATGCCTGTAGACTTGCTGCATGCAAACTATTTTATGGGTTCTTTGTTTTATACACTTATCAGACTTATGACCAATGGAGTTGCAGAGCTCTCTTTAACAGTTTCTAGACTTCCAGTGTTCTACAAACAACAAGCATTTTGCTTGTACCCCGCATGGGCTTATTCTATCCCAGCCTCTATCTTGAAGACTCCATTTTCGTTGCTTGAGTCCATCCTTTGGACATCAATTACTTACTATGTTATTGGGTATAGCCCTGAAGTACAAAGGTGAGCCAATCCTAGCAGAACAAAAATGCCAGATAAGAACTGCCTCCATATTCTCTCTGTTATCATATCTCATGTTCTACTATGGATGCTAGGTTTTTCTGCCAGTTCATTCTGCTTTTCGCTCTGCATCAAGCATCAACATCTATGTGTCGATTCATTGCCTCAATTTTCCAGACTATGGTTGCTGCAACTACAATAGGTTCTATGGCCTTAGTACTAATATTCCTGTTTGGAGGCTTCATTCTTCCGAGACGTAAGTCATATTGACACATATGTCTCATGCTTAATCAAGAACAACTGAATTGCTAACAGCTTTTGTACCATGCAGCCTCTTTACCACCTTGGTTAAGTTGGGCATTCTGGGCTTCTCCAATGACCTATGGGGAAATAGGTGTTTCACTAAATGAATTCCTTGCTCCACGCTGGCAAAAGGTGAACTCTACATGACATGATATGTTGGTCCTGCCATGACCAGCTGTTAACTTGAGTATATCTACTGAAACTTCCGAAATTGGAGGTGGAGGGTCCAAGTCCCAGTTGGGTCTTTGCAATGGGATATAAATATGTTAATGGTGTTAGTTCATTCTCTTTTGCAGGTTTCAGTAGGAAACACAACTCTAGGGCAGAGTGTTTTAATTCGTCATGGTTTAAACTTTGATGGCTACTTCTATTGGATATCAGTAGGGGCATTGGTTGGGTTCGCAATATTTTTTGACCTCGGATTTGTCCTGGCCTTAACCTACCGAAATCGTAAGTCCATCTTAGTCAATAAACAGGCATAATGTCGAAGAACAATCTTCATATATTTACCAATATATGCTTTTTTAAACACAGCTCCAGGGATGTCACGAGCTATTATTTCCAAAGAAAAGTTGTCTCAGCTACAAAAAAGAGACCGTAAAAGTAGTGCACACTTGGACAATGATTCAACTCTGGCTGCTTCTCCTATAACTAGTGCAGAAAAACATAGGACTGGTGGGATACCAAACTTGGTAACTCTTTTGATCTATTAGAGACAAGAACCAGCTCTTGAAATTAATGAACAACTCCTAACTTCATACTTGGTTCTACAGATAATTTGGTCCTGCCATTTGAACCACTGACAATGTCATTCAAGGATGTGAAATATTTTGTTGATACGCCTCCGGTAATCATCTGCGGCTATACGTCTTAGATTTTATAGTCATAACCTTTGTATACTGAATAATGTCAACTATATATTAATTCATTACCTATTTTCAGGAAATGAAAGAAAACGGTTTCAATCAGGACAAACTTCAGTTGCTTCATGATATTACTGGCGCATTCAGACCTGGAATTCTTACAGCATTAATGGGAGTCAGTGGGGCTGGGAAAACAACACTCATGGATGTCCTTTCCGGAAGGAAAACTGGAGGTACAATTGAAGGTGATATAAGAATTGGAGGGTATCCCAAAGTCCAGAAGACGTTTGCTAGAGTATCAGGTTACTGTGAGCAGCATGATATACATTCTCCACAGATTACTGTGGGCGAGTCAGTGGCATACTCAGCTTGGTTGCGGTTACCACCAGAGATTGTTCCAGAAACCAAAGCTGTATGTTATTCTCTACGCAAATACAAACAAGGCTATCCTATAAATTTAAAAAAATGATGAAAATAAGAGGCTCAATCCCTAGATAATTGTCATATATTAATTAAACAAAAGTCAATCCACAAAATCTAGGGCTGCCTTTGTCACTCGTATTTTTTCATTTGACGTAGCCAAACCCGAAGTACATAGTTTCATACAAATAACTGGCATAAAAATTAATAGGTAATGCTTTCCATTTAAATCTGTGGAGTTGAATTGTCAAATCTTCAATGAAGAAGATGCCACCCATTACCCAGGCCAAGGTTTGAGAAAAAGAATGTCACATACTTACCTCTAGACTCTAGTCCAAGTTACACGGACTAAGGTATTATGTGCCGAGCGTAGATGTATGTCCTGGAATGTATCAAATCATAATACCATATAAGAACACAGCTAAACAATAATTGTTTTTGTAATTCTTCTTCCATAATCTAGGGCAAAATTGGTAATATTTTATAAAATAAAGTCTTCAAAATGGACACTTCAGTCATTTTGAAGTAATAATAACAGGAATTTAGTAAGAGACTTTTGTGTACAATTATAGAATACTTAAATTATTAAATATACACGTTAGGTACATCATGCATGTTAAACCAGCCATGTCAAATTCACCTCTCATACTGCATCCAAGTGTAATGTTCAAACAAGTACTTAAGCATTTAGAATAGTCCAGGTAACATAAATTTATTTAAGAAATATAGTGTCCACAGTACCAACCATTTCAAATTTTATAGAAAAAGAATATATTAGGCATAGGCATGGCAGCTTTATGATGTTGAAATTTGTAAATACTTAATATTTCCTTTACCAGACAAAATAACCACATCTATTTCTAATTCTCCATTTGAGTTGATAGAAGACGACAACACATTTTGTCCATGCTGTAGGATAAGGCTGTGTATAATTGTGATTGTAATATTTGTAAGCTGTATTTAAAGATTTCAGAATGCGAGGAATAAGGCTAAAACACCCAATCTGTTTTCTGAAAGTGACATTTTTTAAGGGACTCTCTTTCCATAGTTCTAAAAAAGTGTGCAATTGTTATTGACAACTGTGGTTTTCAAAGGGAATAAGGTTAAAACACGCAATCTGTTTTCCCAAAAGTGTGATACTTTTTCTAGATCTTCCTTTCCTGTACACCAAAGAGAGCTTAACATTCCAAATTATACATTCCAAAGCTTAATAAGTAGAAATGCAGTAAACCTAGAATATCAATATCTTGTATTTGAATTGGGGTTCCAGTTTGACATCAACCAATGTGATCCAAATGACTAGTAGTACCACATAAACACATGAGTATTCAGATACTGTTCGGTTGGCATTTGAAAGCATTTATTTTGCCTTGGAGAGCAAATTTTAGTTATGTTCTTAAAATAAAAAACTGCTGGTGTGTTATCCAAACAGTGTGTTAATTTACATGGGTATATACTATATTGTGTACACTGGAACCTTATCTCACATGCATATTACAATGTATCTGTTGTGCAGAAATTCGTGGAAGAAGTTCTTGAAATAATTGAACTTGATAACATTAGAGATTCTTTAGTTGGGATACCTGGGGTAAGTGGTCTTTCTACCGAGCAGCGTAAAAGGCTCACGATTGCAGTGGAGCTTGTTTCAAATCCATCAATAATATTCATGGACGAGCCTACATCAGGTTTAGATGCCAGATCAGCTGCAATTGTCATGCGTACAGTGAAGAATGTAGTTGCAACAGGAAGAACAACAGTTTGCACCATCCACCAACCAAGCATTGATATTTTTGAGGCATTTGATGAGGTGAGTAAAATCCCTTTTATCACGAAAATTACAAGATAGAGCAGATTTGTCAAATCCAATTGCTTGACCAAAAATACCAAGAATCCTTGAGAAGAACGTCACACAAAAGAACAAACATAACTGTAAAAGACTTGCATCTAGTAGCCTTTTAACCAGGGGCTTATTTAGGACTCATGACGAGTTCGGAAAACTGAGCTTGATCTCAGATTGTGAGTGTGAAACATATTTTTTAATTTTTTTATTGTAATATATTTTATTTATTATATTTTGTGATTTTCTTTGTCAATAAACGGGTATGAGAGTTTTTAAACTACAAAACATATGAGGCATATGTCTAAGAGCATACACGATTAGGTCTACCAAGACAGCTCAATTCATATGGAAACTGAGGTTATAGTTAAAGAGCATACACGATTAGGTCTAACATCTTGCTCTAGGCTAATCATTAACTGCCTTTGTACCCATCATACAGAATTTCCTTTCAAGTTGTTCACCCGTAAATAACAGAAACATCTCTTCTCTTCATTCAACCTTTCCTTCCTCATGACGAGTGAAATACAATCAAGGAACCAAACATTGGTAATCTTAGCCGTCATTTTAAATGTTCCCTAACCTCTACTCTTAATTTTCCTAAAATTACACAGATATCAAACTCATCTCGTTATAGTCTCCGTCAACATACTCATAAGCGCAATATAAATTAGTTGTTGAACTTTTATGAAAATATTAATCTCATGCATGTGTATGTATACACATTCTTATGCATGTATCTTTTTTTTTAATCTATATAAATTTTCTCTCTCTCTCTATATATATACATATACATATATACATATACATAGCATCTTAATTTTCGTCTCTAAGCTGAAGTTGACAAAATCTTATTAACTGTCATTATGTGGAAAACAGAAAATACAATATCAGTAATTAATAAGTATCTAACATCCAATTCTGTGCAGTTGATTCTAATGAAAAGAGGAGGGCAAATTATCTATTCTGGAGCATTGGGGAATCATTCAAGTAAACTTATCGAATATTTTGAGGTACGCACACAATTTCACCACTTCACTTATTACTAAGCAAGTAGACTTCCTATTGCATCCAATGATCACTGATTCTTCACTGAGTTTGTTGTCTCCTCCCAGAGATTGTTTATCATGGCTGCTATATTTGCTATTCAGATTTTTAAACAAACATGGTGATGTGAAGTAATGTGTTCGTGTTGTCCTTCTATAATCATAACAGATGAACATCAAACATATATAAATCAATGACACTCCAACAATTCACTAATTCGACATGCATTTCTAGTCTAAGGATCATTAAATGAGGACATTATAAGTAACCAAACACATCAAAAATAATAAATAAATAAATAAAACATAGTTGACCACATTCAATTGGCAACTTCATGAGCTCATTGATTGAAATATATAAAGTAAGTGACACCTATATTTGTTCATTAACACAATTAAAAGGTTATTACCCAGTATGCCTCCATTTAACGGAGGAGCTAGGAGAGGCAAACTGAGTAAAGACCTAATTTTTGCCATTATTTGTACTCTCAAACTAAGAACCTGAACTTTTACCACTTCACCAAGCAACAACGCTTTTAACACAACTGAGAAGTTACGAAGGAAATGACAAAATCACCATCTAATGGATCATTTTGTAGCTATCCAAACAAAATTATCTGCTTATAAAAGAAAAAGAAAAAAGACCACGTAATTATACCAAAAAATCTTGAACTATTTCAAAATAAATACTTCAATCAACATTTGATCTGGTATGTACACACAAATTCAATCATGTTTTGAGTTATGAGAGGATTTGTTAAAGGTAAAAAATTTCTCAGAATCATTAGAGTGACAGTAGTTTCGAATTCTTGATATAGGCAAAATTCTACTGATCAGTAAACCTTCAGAGTTAATGAATCAGCATCCAGTAATATAAAAATATGGTAGTCCTCTCTGAGTTCATTTATGGAACCTGCACTTCCTTTTGGTGATGTGGGTGGCCTTATTGTTTTACCTCACATGTAAAAATTTCACCATCCAGTGTCCAGTGTTGGTTCTGCCAATGAGGTGTTGGGAGGAATGGAATGAATACAGACATAATCTTTACATCAGGCATCATTAACTCTAAGTAGCTAAGTTCAAATTGAACTTGTATTCCCACACTTTGAGAACCCAAGCATTATTTGTTACACAAAACAATAAATCCTTCATGCCAAATGTAAATGAATCACAAAAAGGTGCAAAGACAACCTCACTAAGAACTCACAAGTATATTTTGTTGTCATCCTTCCAGCCCTATCAATGGTTCTTTTTACTTATTTTCCCTACAGATATATTAATTATTTGCATAGGAAAAAAAAAAAAACAAAATTCTTGTACTGCGCTAATGTAACATTTTCCTTATCCAACAGGGTATTACTGGTTTGCCAAAGATCAAAGATAATTATAATCCAGCAACATGGATGTTAGAAGTTACTTCTGCATCAGTAGAAGCGGAACTTGGTTTAGATTTTGCCAGCATATATAAGGAATCACCACTGCATCAGTAAGTCACTTGATATTGGTGTGATTAAAATTTAAAACTTTTCTTGGGTATCTTATATGAATTTCCAGGTCAAAGATGACATTGCTACTGAGTGTCAAGAATCAGAATTATTTCTGGTTGTACTTACCAAAATATTTTCATTGCTTTTCTGGTCATAGAGAAACAGTAGAGTTGGTTAGACAGTTGAGTGAGCCACCACCAGGTTCAAAAGAGCTGCACTTTCGTACTCGTTTTCCACAGAATAGTCGAGAACAGTATATGGCATGCCTCTGGAAACAACACTTGTCATATTGGAGAAGTCCTGAATACAACTTGGTGCGATTAGTGTTTATGATAGTTGCAGCAATAACTTTTGGAGCGCTCTTTTGGCAGAAAGCGGAGAAAATGTAAGTCCTTTTTTGGTTGAGTTGAATTCAGTAACATCGTGAATGGATGGAGTTAAAACCAAGTCAAAGAAAATTTGAACTGACCTAGGCACAATTTAAGGAGATGTGTTGAGATGGCAATACTTTCATAGTAACTAACACAGGTTTTCCGATATACCATTTTATTACAATATAAATTTTACAGTACTTCCTTCCTGTTGTGTTAATGATATAATGTTTACATTTTAGGGCACAATGTGACGAATTCCAGGGATCCATAAGTGTGACAGATAGCAAACATAGCTAGGAAAACAATATTTCACTCTACTATTCGTTTTCTAAAATTCTTTAGGCAACTATAAGAAGCCAGAAAGTGGCCTTCATTTATTTTATTACTTATAACCAAAAAAACAAAACAAAACAAAACAAATAAAAACAAAAAAAAAGGAAGCCACACCATCATTTCTATATTTGGACAACTTTATCAACTCCTGAACCAAACATAATTGACGCAAGTTTGATCGCATTGAAGTAAAATATATGTAGTTTCTTAACACAAGCAATTCAGACACAAATAATACAATAAAGTCAATTCTAATCAAAGAACTAATGTGGAAAATTTGAGTGCTGCATTTAAACTGAAACCACAAAACCAGCATCAAAGTATATTGATGAACTAAAAGGAGGTTTCGGGAAAGCATATAATACCTTAAGTGACATTGTGCTGGGCCATATAATAGTTTTCTGCAGCTTATTTTTTCTAACTGACAGCCCTAGAAATTAGTGAAGCTCTAACTTATAGCCTGTTGTTTCTTTCCTGAAGAAACACTGAGCAGGATTTGTTCAACATACTTGGATGCATGTATATTGCTGTCATATTCTTGGGGATAAATAATTGTTCAACAGTTCTACCGCATGTGGCAACTGAGCGCAATGTTCTGTATCGGGAAAAATTTGCTGGGATGTACTCCTCAAAGGCTTACTCCTTCGCACAGGTACACAATCATCTACAAGTACTGAAGTAGTACTTGCATTGTTATGGTGAATGATATACATACCGTGAACTTCATAAATTATAATTGAGGTGATCTTTTGCAGGTTACCATTGAAATACCTTATATACTGTTGCAAGCAATTTTGTTTGTGGCCATTACATATCCATCAATAGGGTTCTACTGGTCAGCTCACAAGGTCTTCTGGTACTTCTATGCAACATTCTGCACATTTTTATACTTTGTATACCTTGGGATGCTGATAGTTTCATTAAGCGGAGATCCCCAAGTAGCTTCCATATTGGCAACTGCAGTCTACACAATACTGAGTCTTTTCTCCGGCTTCCTCCTGCCAGGACCGGTAAAACCTTCCACCTCTTGTTATTTATTTTCTTTTTACTTTTTAAATTGTTATTAAATAATGACCTAGCCTACTTCCTACATCTTCTAATAATAAAAACTTATAATTGTTTGCATTAGTCATTTCCATGGACTAAAAAGATCTCATGAAAATTGTTGGAACCAAGTACAAACAGAAAGAAGCACTTATGATGGGGGAAAAAAAAATTCATGTTTTCTGTTCCATGAGTACTTCCAAAAGCTCCATTCAGATAGGTCTGAGAACCAAGGAAAGTAGGTACTCTCTCATGTAATGAAGCTTTACATGCATTTATGTATCAGTGAAGTCAAAGTTTCTCAAAAGAGTGGACTGCATTTGTGCTAGATATCCCTGTAAATTTCACAAGAATATGCAAAAAAAATTCACGGAAATTGTGAAATTTTCACTCACACACTTATCACTCATTCTAACAAAACTGAACCTAAGGGATGATGCTAGAGACCCTTATATCCCAATTCCCAAAAAAATCAAATTGACCACCCTTCTTATTCAACTTCGCATGATGAAACTTGTCATCCTGATCGATTTTGAGTATAGTTTCTACATACTTCACACGATAAAACTTCTCATCCTCGTTAAAATTGACTATCGTTAAGCCAAATATTGTGACTCTGTTTATTTTGTGCAGAAAATTCCCAAGTGGTGGGTTTGGTTGTACTGGATTTGTCCTACGTCCTGGTCCCTAAACGGCCTCCTGACCTCACAGTATGGAGATGAGAACAAAAAGATACTCATATTTGGGGAGATCAAATCAATCAGTTCCTTCCTACAAGAATATTATGGCTTTCGACACGATCATTTAGCCCTTGTGGCTGTTGTTCTCATAGCTTTCCCTGCTATTTTTGCATTCCTTTTCGCATACTGCATAGGGAAATTGAATTTCCAAAGGAGGTAAAATAGAGGAATCCAGTCAGTCTTTTCCATTCAAGGTTTGTGATAAAAAATGATTGTATGTTAATAATACCCAGGAAACATTCTGTTTTCCTCGTAATTCATTAAATGCATTACACAAACCTATGCTTTACCTTAAATTCACGAACTGCAAGATTATATTTCTAAGCTTCATTTTCGTGTATCTTTTCGGAATCCACAGCAAATCGTTTTAAACTAATCCATTATGTCTTTCAATGGTGACAAAATCATATATTTTGACTAAGCTTCTCATAACACAGTACTACTGGAATTGATGATTCACGACCCTAATTGAGGGTTGCATAAATTATGATCTTTTTAACAGTACCAATTCCACACCAGACAGTAATACAGCATAGAAAAGAAATGACATAAAGGGACATGAAGTTATATATATATATATTTGTTTGTGTGTGTGTGTTCAACAAACATGAATAAATACTCCATCGATATGCTAGTTCGCATTCAGTAATGTTGATTACTGAGTAGACTAAATTAAAAAGGGTGAGAAGACGACATACTTGTGCAGATTTACAGCAAGAAAAAGACAACTACGGTTTTGAAAGATTCTTTCGCTGCCCAGCTCTCTCAAGTGGACTGTCTCGTCAAAATCGTCTTTGGCGCACTTCACTTGCAATTTTTTCATCTCCAATTTGAAATTTCACAGGTAACATTTTTGTGCATGGTTGAATTTGCACCGCCAAGTACTTTGTACTGGAGAGGAATTAAGAATGGTATGATTGAAGGATAAGTTACACTCTCAAATTTTAAGAGGTTTGGATAAATCTCACACAAATGAAGTATTTACGATTTATTGTTTTGACTTTCTTTAAGGTTTGGAGTAGGGGTGACAATTCATCTTCGTGGGTGAGTCGTGTTCGTATCGTGTCAATATAAGGGTATTATACTGAATAGGTAATTCATACCCAAACCATTTAATAATCGTTTTAAGAATCCTCAATTTAATATTTAATCAAATACTAAATAATAGAATGACTTAATTATGCATAGTAATTGGATTTAAACATTTAACATATTACATACGTCATATTCACGATTATAATATGTTGAGTTAAATGGGTCATAAACGGGTTACACGAGTTGACCGTCTCAACCCTAACCCGACACAGTTAAGTAAACGGGTTAATCGTGTCGACCCTTTTATAACCCAAACTCGTTTATACCAAACCCAAACCATTTTAACTCGTGTTGAGTTCGTGTCGTGTTGTCGTGTCATAATTTGCCACCCCTAATTTGGATGTATGCTCAACAACCCTTTCTTTATCAAAACTTGTGAAAAAAAATCATAAAATGACCAAGTTGTCCTTACACTCTTTCTTTCTTTCTTTTTTTCTTTTTTTTTTACAAGATTTTTTTTAAGAAAGGATAATAGTGGTGGACAGGAGAGAGAAAAGTAATAAAAGAGATGAGATACAATAATTAATTTTTTTTATTTATTTTAGAATATATTTTGTATTATAAAAATTTGTTACATATAAAGGTATAATTGACTTTTTATAATCTTTAGGTAGGTCAGCGTCATAAACCTCAAACTCTTCACCCTATATGAGAGTTACCCAAACCTTGATGGAGGTAAGTGTAATTTACCCTTCTCTACATCCATATCATAAGGGGAATGGATAAATTATTGGATGGCACAAAAGTCACTCCAATGGGCTACTTAAAAAAAATATTTGTATCTTATTATATTATTATTGGTCCACTTTTTAAATTGAACAGTTTTGATTGAACTTTACCGCCAAATATCAATGGTCAATCCTCTTTTCTTAATGGAAAAATATTGATTGGAGAAAAGCAGAAGTGTAATATACTTAGGACCATCTACATCATTTCTTAGGGGTTTTTCATCATAGATTGTTATATATATATATATAAATTCTAAAATGTAAGCCATCAACTAAAAGTGGAGGACATTGCATATCCATTTATTGATAGAAGTAATTTCTTATTATATTTCAATTTATTACGAATACATTTGGATGGAAGGAAATGGTAAAAGAAGAGAGGAAGTGGGAGAAAGGATATCGAATGATTAAAAAGTCCATCCAGTCCCTCCAGTCTCTCTCTCTCTGTCTGTCTGTCTGAAGAAATGCTCTCTCACATCTAACACTAACAAGTTAGTGGAGTCATTTTTTCCAATTGCTGCAATATCCCACCTGGTGGCATGTGAAGATTGCAGTGCAATTCTAAACCAAATGATTTTTCATTTCCACTGCCAAAATCACTTGCTAAAATACTGCAGTATCTATTGTTTAACATTGCACTCCTATATTCTTGACATTTCCTCATAATTTGAAATTAACTACAATAAATAGATATACATAATATTTATTATAGAATGCAAAAATAAGGCAGTTTTAAGTTTGAAAAACTCAATGCACTCCTTGTTCCAACTCAAAATATACTTGTGTAATATGATTACACTCACAAAGATGTTCTAATTAAATGTTCTCATCGAATTCAATGTAAGAGGCACTTGCACTTCAACTTTGAAAAATAAAGAATCTAAGATAAATACAAATTATAACAACGGTATATCAACAATGTGAGAGAAAAAAGGAAGCTTGTCTTCTAAGTTCGAGTTTCATGTGTAATGGGCCTAGCAAGATGTTATATAAGATGAGACCGCCCACTGTGACCACAGAACACAAATGAGGAGGTCTATCCACGTGATATGCGTTTAAACAAAGCCACAATTTATTTCTCAATGTGATAGTGAAGATTGAGTGATTGATTGTTCACCTGAGCTCAAGTCAATTCACGTGATATGACCCCAACACAAAAAAAACATTCGTAAAATTGGTTTGGCTGTGGATAATTAGGATAGCTCAATTATAGGCGGCTTATATGTTCGTTTAGAACTTTTAATTTGAAAGGACATAGGTCTCCAATTTAAAACTTTATTAAACTTTCTTCTTCTAAGTTCTTTCATAATGTCACCAGTAGCTCAAGTCAATCCGCAAGATATTACCCCAACACAAAAAAACATTCGTAAGATTGGTTTGGCTGTGGATAATTAAGACAGCTCAATCATAGGCGGCTCATACGTTCGTCTAGGACTTTTAATTTGGAAGGACATGGGCCTCCAATTTGAAACTTTATTAAACTTTCTTCTTCTATGTTCTTTCACAATGTCACCAATAGCTCAAGTCAATCCACGTGATATGACCCCAACACAAAAAAAACATTCGTAAAATTGGTTTGGCTGTGGATAATTAGGATAGCTCAATCATAGGCGGCTCATACGTTCGTCTAGGACTTTTAATTTGGAAGGACATAGGCCTCCAATTTGAATCTTTATTAAACTTTCTTCTTCTAAGTTCTTTCACAATGTCACTAGTAGCTCAAATCAATCCACATGATATGACCCCAACACAAAAAAATATTCGTAAAATTGGTTTGGCCGTGGATAATTAGGACAGCTCAATCATAGGCGGCTCATATGTTCGTCTAGGACTTTTAATTTGGAAGGACATAGGCCTCCAATTTGAAACTTTATTAAACTTTCTTCTTCTAAGTTCTTTCACAATGTCACCAATAGCTCAAGTCAATCTACGTGATATGACCCCAACACAAAAAAACATTCGTAAAATTGGTTTGGCTGTGGATAATTAGGACAACTCAATCATAGGCGGCTCATACGTTCGTCTAAGGCCTCTAATTTGGAAGGACATAGGCCTCCAGTTTGAAACTTTATTAAACTTTCTTCTTCTAAGTTCTTTCACAATGTCACCAGTAGCTCAAGTCAATCCACGTGATATAACCCCAACACAAAAATTTCCTACTACTCCTTGGACCACTAAAATTGGTTTGGCTATAGATAATTAGGGCGGCTCTGGTCACAGGCAGCTCATACAGTCGTCTAGGACTTTTATCTGGAAGGACATAGACCTTCAATTTAGAATGACCTCAAATGTCTAAGATCTCGCATTTAAAACTTTATTAAACTTTCATCTCCTAAGTTCTTTCATATTTTTGAGAATTTCAGAGCCGGACCCTACAGATAATCCTACTAATAAAAATAAATAAAAAAATTCATTCGGTGGGAACTGAAAGAACATATGTATAAAATTTTATGGAATAAAAAATTTGGAACTTTCATTTATTAAATAATTTTTTTATAGATAATTTTTTGTGGGGGGAAATTTTCACTACTTATAATTACCCTCACTAACTTTACAACGTTGTGCAATACATTTTTAAGCTTTCATAATAAAAGTGTATAAAAAAGGCCTCATAACTTCACATCAATGTAGTTGTTCTATACTTCATCTCTTCCCTCTTTTGCTTCTGTAATTAACCAGGTCGTGTTTTAGGTGCATGACAACTAAATATGAGTAAGTCCTAGTGACAAATATTCATTTTAAAATTCAATATTTATTAATTTTGTGCTAAAAAAAAAAAAAATTAATGGTAATATTTCTTCTTTAAAAAATAGAAGGTCAAGAGTTCAAATTTTACAAAGTAAATGTGAGAGTTTCTTAGCATGATATAAAAATAATAATAAAAAAAATTATAAATTAGTGGTATTTTTTCACCTTCAAAAAATAGAAAGTCAAGAGTTCAAATTTCCACATGAATAAAGTAAGTGTGAGAGTTTCTTAGCATGATAAAAATAATATTCCTTCGCCCTAATTTAGTTGTCCATTTTTCCTTTTTAGACTATCCCAAAATACTAATTCACTTAAAAAGTTTAAACAAAATATTTTACATTGTTATGTAAATACAATATTTTGATTTTTTTTTTCAAACCATGAAAATATAAATTAGTAATGCATTGAGTAGTAATAATTTAAAATATATATATATATATATATATATATATATATATATATATATAACTTTTCTTCACATAAATCCAAGATGAAGGATGGATTACACAACAAATCTAATGAGGCCAAGTTCGGCTCTGTGTAATTGGAATTGAAATTGTTAAAATTGAATAAAAGTTATGTTAACCCTCACAAAAATTAATGGGAGTTGTCGTCAAACTTTTGAACTTCAAATCATTATCCTATCTAATAATCAGTATCATACAAACACACAACAATTGTCATATTAATCAATACAGAATGCCCCAATCGAATTTTCCAAGCTCCAATAAACAGATTTATCAGTGACTTCCACATAATAATCAATAAAATATAGTCCATCTCTTTTGGAGTACTCAGTTCAACAATTGTCATATTAGTCAATTATAAAAATCAAGTGGAACTTTTCTAATTTTCCTGAAAATTAACTCCTCATATTGAGTTTTGTGTGTGAACACTATCACCTTTCCACATCAATAGTTTTCAAGATTAAAAGATAATTCCTCAAATTACTTAGCTCTCACGCTTCGTGCACGCTCTCACTTAAATTCTCACTACTTGTGAGTTAACTCTGCCGTTCTCACTCCCACTTTCGAATTCACTCTTACTCCCGTTTTATGTGACTTAAATATTAAGCTCCAACAAGTTTCACAAAACAAGGTGCAGTTAGTGCACCAACATGATGTATCATGCAAAAGCGATCTTCTTCGGTGTTCGAAAACAAAACTGGAAATCAGATATCCGAATTTCTAAGAAAAATAAGAATTTGACAAATCAACCAACAAAAAGTTAAAAAAAACAAGATAATAGAGACTTCAGACACGATCATCAACTTTTAATGCCCAAGCAGGAAAAATGGCAAAAAAAATAATAATAATAAACATCCACTGTTCATATTAAATTGAAGATTTACTGGAGGAATTATTGGAGAAAATCCTCCAGTAATTGATATTGTTTCTTATTCTCTCTGTTTCCCTTTTCATCTCCTTCCGTTCTCATCGTTTTCTCCTCTTATACAGAAAAGCCTCCATCATTGTACTATGTATGAAAATCGGAGAGAAAAACATATCAGCAACAAAGTTGAAATAGAGCCTTTAGTGATTTTCCTCACCATAATATCTTGTGATTTTTTTAACCATCCTATTTGTGACCTACGCAGTCACCATCCTGACCAAATACCAAAAGGCTATGTTTGGAAGGGATGGAATTGGAGTTTTGAAATTAAAATTTGCGGAATTAAAGAAAAACAACTAAGAAAATTGAACCAAAATTTTCTCCAATTTTAACAATTCCAAAGCTCCAATTCCATGCCTCGTGCCTTCCACAGTAACAGGTATTCATATCAAGTACTGAGTAACATTTAATTTTACTATTGATATGTGAGAAACTCGTCGTCATGAAATTTCTGTAGTCACACTAGTGAACGCAAACTAAGTATTTCTTCCCAAGTCTCGCATATTAACAGGTTATAAGGAATAAGAGTTCTGCAAAGAAGTTCTTCGGAAGAAGGTTTCAAGCTCAGATGGAACTAACAAATATTGGAAGAAACATCCAGACATCATTTCAGCAACATAATACAAGCATTAGTAGTAGTCATTCAGGTTCAATAAGAGAGGAAGACGAAGTTGAGTTGCAATGGGCTGCAATCGAGAGATTACCTACCTTCAAACGGCTCAGAACATCACTGTTTGATAGTAATCGCGGCAATGGAAGCAGAACAGAACTCGGAGAGAGGAGAATGATTGATGTCACGAAGCTTGGGCCGCTCAAACGACATCTGTTCATCGACAAGCTCAGAAAGCACATTGAGAATGATAATCTCCAATTGCTTCAGAGAATGAGAGAGAGGATAGACAGGTAATCCTGCTTTTCAAATTCTGACAAAAAAAAAAAGCTGAATATGATCAATACTTGTCAAATTCTCAGAGATTGAAACTTCTTGTCATTTTTATGAGGAGAGGTATCCAGAAACAGCAAATGATTATCAACAAAGCACCCACATCAAACTATTGAATTGGCATATCATTTTATAAGTACCGTATCGATCATTAATATGAATCTTCTACAAAATGGAATAAGAAATTAAACATTAAAACAGTCTAGCTCCATCTCTAGCTCATCTATTGTAGATGTTCTTCATGGATTTAAGTGATTTGGTCTAACCAACATTATCTAGAGTCCTCACTGCACAACCTTTGCATGTGTTCCTCATGCTAAGCTCCTTCAGGCATATATATATATATGTTTCATATACCCTTCAGGCATATTATGTATCACATCATTACACTTACCTAAAAATTTTCTTTCAGAGTTGGTGTAAATTTACCTACTGTTGAGGTGAGATACAAAAATCTGTCTGTGGAAGCCAGGTGTAAGGTAGTTCAAGGGAAGCCCCTCCCAACACTATGGAACTCTCTTTTAAGCATGATTACTGTAAGTAGGCTTCTTCTACCCTGATCTAATTCGTGCAGTACCTTGGCATACTGGCTTCATTCTGCTAAAACCATTATATCTGTAATAAAGAATATAAAACAGAACTAAATTAGGATGCAAGTCCTGTCCAATCAGCTTAATGGGAGTATCATTTTAACAGGTTTTTACAAAGGTATTCCGTCTCAAGCATCAAGAAGCCAAGATCAATATCCTAAATGATGTTAGTGGCATCATCAAACCATCAAGGTAATATGGATACATTAATGCATATACATTTATAAATAAAGCATATATTGGACAACACATAAAATAATTTTCTTGTTGAACATTGATAATTAGGAAAGTTTTCCTGTCATACACGAGCAAAAATAATAAATCAAATCAGGAATTTTAATGTATTGATATAATTACTTGCAATGCTCTCTGAATATTGTTTTTGGCTAATAGAAAAATCTAATACTCATATGAACTCAATAAAGACTCATTCCAACCATTGGGGTCGACTACAGGAATCCCTTTTCAGCATTCTGATTTGTCTCAAGTCATAAGTTTAGTCAAAACACATGCTACCATAACTTACCTTACTATCTAAATCCATATTAATTTTGTTAGCATTTCCCTATCATGGTCTTCAAGGTGGATAAGGTTTACTCTTCTCCAATACTGCAGTAATTGGCCTTGTTGCACATGCTCAAAACATCTACCATCTCACTATTTATTTCCAATTTCAATAGAAATATGTACTGTAGTGAAAAAGTAACAACTCTAGAATTCCGCCTTTGTTAACTTAAGAACGAAGCCCGTCTTCAATGCGCTACAATTTAGACTGAGTATCCAAGAACATCACCAGAAAAGAGATGGCTTAGCAACTTCCTGACATTACAGAACTTAAATAGTTCAGCAATTAGATTGATATTCCAAGCAATTTCCTTCACCAAGTGGTTAATTTTTTATGAGTTAGATCATGTTGCGCAACATAGTTGCTTTTTCCTTTCCCAAGAGAAAAAATACTGGGTATTTCATATAATTGTACTAGGTGAAGACAGAAAAAAATAGGTTGGTTTTGAATTGATCCATTTCATCCAAGTTGTTTAATATGAAAGGATGAACATGAAATGTTATAAAAAAAAACTCTAAAAAATCAGGTTTTCATGTTTATGCAAGTAAAGGAAAAAAAAAAGAAAAGAAAAGAAAGCTCTACTCATGGAAGATTGCACTTGATGCAGGCTTACTCTTCTTCTTGGTCCCCCAGGCTGTGGGAAAACCACCTTGTTATTGGTCCTCGCAGGAAAATTAAATCAGTCTCTCAAGGTTAGTTGTTCAATATATTGTCTCTTGAAATTTCAGAAAACTAAATGTTATAAAGCAAAAAAAAAAAAAAAAAACCCTTAAATGATGATGAGCTATCTCATCACCATCCTTGCCTTTATCCCATAGAGATGGGGTCGGCCACATGAATTCTCTTTATATGGACAAACAAACAATTTCACACCTCCAACTGTGCTTAAGTACAACAGATCTTCATGGACGTTGTATGAAATTGTGTAAGATCCAGTTACACCTCCCAATCTCTATGCTATGGAGAAAATAAGAGGTAAAAAAGAAAAACAAACATTAATAGCAGACAGATTAATGCATTATCATAAACACCGTCCAATTTATAAGGATTCTATAAAAACAACTCTTACTCAAAAATTTAAACCAGCACCCATCATTACAATATATATAATGTGATTTCTCTCTTTTCAGGTCACAGGCAAAGTCTCTTACAATGGTTACAGGCTACACGAGTTCGTTCCACAGAAAACATCAGCTTACATTAGTCAATATGACCTACACATACCAGAGATGACTGTGAGGGAAACACTTGATTTTTCTGGACGATGCCAGGGTGTCAGTAGTAGAGCAGGCAAGCTTCCTTCACCACTTAGTACTTCTATTATTACTGTAATTACGCCCATGTATCAATACAAAATCATTAACTTTCATATTTGGCTATGAAGAAATCATGATCGAAGTTAGCAGAAGAGAGAAAGAAGCAGGCATTATGCCCGATCCAGACATCGACACCTACATGAAAGTAATATAATTATATACAATTATTTTAACTTTATCTTCTTTTTTTATTAACTCTGTTGAAAGTTCTTTAGATATTGATATAGTTTTGAACAGGCAATCTCAGTTCAGGGACAAAAAAGAAATATGCAGACTAATTATGTTCTCAAGGTAATTTTTTCTCTTCAAAACAGAGATCAATGTGGGTTATAAGCAGTTTCATAAAGACATATTGACCAACTGTAATATGTAAACTACAACTATATGGCCTTCAGATCCTTGGACTGGATATCTGTGCTGATATAATGGTTGGCGATGCAATGAGAAGAGGAATTTCAGGTGGCCAAAAGAGAAGACTGACAACAGGTACTAAATGAAAAAAAATCAGTGACTAAATAACTCAATTCCACTTAGACCTCAACTAGACCATATGCCAGCCATTTTTAAATGACTAGAACCTATTTCTAAAAAGAAAATACGATAATTTTCGATGCAGAAGTTTTCTTCTAACGGTAATTTTTTCGTGGCTAAACCATCTGGCAGGAGAGATGATTGTAGGTCCCATAAAAACTTTATTTATGGATGAAATATCAACTGGATTAGACAGTTCCACAACCTTTCAGATAGTAGCATGCCTCCAGCACATGGTGCACATCATGGATTCAACTGCATTGGTAGCACTCCGGCAGCCATCTCCGGAGACCTTTGAACTATTTGATGATCTCATATTGATAGCAGAGGGGAAGATTTTATATCACGGTCCTCGGAGTCATGCACACCAGTTTTTCGAGGATTGTGGTTTCAAGTGCCCAGAAAGAAAGAGTGCAGCAGACTTCCTCCAGGAGGTGAGTAAACACATTCTGATATGCTGTTAATTGCAATGCCCTTATTGCAAAACAAATGCATATGTTAATTTTTTTCAGGTAATCTCGAAGAAGGATCAAGCACAGTACTGGAGCAGAACTGACATTCCATACAGTTACATTTCAGTGGATCAATTCTGCGAGATGTTAAAAAAAAGTCATCTTGGAGATAAGCTAGATGCGGAGCTTTCCAGGCCATACAATAAATCCCAGTGCCCTAAAAATGCCCTATCATTTAACACTTACTCCTTGAGCAAATGGGAACTATTTAAAGCTTGCATGGCTAGAGAGTTTCTTCTCATGAAGCGAAACTCCTTTGTTTATGTATTCAAAACAGCACAGGTAATATTCTATCCAGTGACCCCTTTGTCTTGTGTTTTCTACTATTCACTTCCAATCCTGACTTATGAGCTGAAATCAATGATTCCACAGCTTGTAATAATCGCATTCATGACAATGACAATCTTTATACGCACACGGATGCCTGTAGACTTGCTGCATGCAAACTATTTTATGGGTTCTTTGTTTTATACACTTATCAGACTTATGACCAATGGAGTTGCAGAGCTCTCTTTAACAGTTTCTAGACTTCCAGTGTTCTACAAACAACAAGCATTTTGCTTGTACCCCGCATGGGCTTGTTCTATCCCAGCCTCTATCTTGAAGACTCCATTTTCGTTGCTTGAGTCCATCCTTTGGACATCAATTACTTACTATGTTATTGGGTATAGCCCTGAAGTACAAAGGTGAGCCAATCCTAGCAGAACAAAAATGCCGGATAAGAACTGCCTCCATATTCTCTCTGTTATCATATCTCATGTTCTACTATGGATGCTAGGTTTTTCGGCCAGTTCATTCTGCTTTTCACTCTGCATCAAGCATCAACATCTATGTTTCGATTCATTGCCTCAATTTTCCAGACTACGGTTGCTGCAACTGCATTTGGTTTAATGGCCTTAGTGCTAATATTCCTGTTTGGAGGCTTCATTCTTCTGAGACGTAAGTCATATTGACACATATGTCTCATGCTTAATCAAGAACAACTCAATTGCTTACAGCTTTTGTACCATGCAGCCTCTTTACCACCTTGGTTAAGTTGGGCATTCTGGGCTTCTCCAATGACCTATGGGGAAATAGGTGTTTCACTAAATGAATTCCTTGCTCCACGCTGGCAAAAGGTGAACTCTACATGACAAGATATGTTGGTCCTGCCACGACCAGCTGTTAACTTGAGTATATCTACTGAAACTTCCGAAATTGGAGGTGGAGGGTCCAAGTCCCAATTGGGTCTTTGCAATGGGATATAAATATGTTAATGGTGTTAGTTCATTCCCTTTTGCAGGTTTCAGTAGGAACACAACTCTAGGGCAGAGTGTTTTAATTCGTCATGGCTTAAACTTTGATGGCTACTTCTATTGGATATCAGTAGGGGCATTGGTTGGGTTCGCAATATTTTTTGACCTCGGATTTGTCCTGGCCTTAACTTACCTCAATCGTAAGTCCATCTTAGTCAATAAACAGGCATAACGAGAACAATCTTCATATATTTACCAATATATGCTTTTATAAACACAGCTCCAGGGATGTCACGAGCTATTATTTCCAAAGAAAAGTTGTCTCAGCTACAAAAAAGAGACCATAAAAGTAGTGCGCACTTGGACAATGATTCAACTCTGGCTGCTTCTCCTATAACTATTGCAGAAAAACAAAGGACTGGTGGGATACCAAACTTGGTAACTCTTTTGATCTATTAAAGACAAGAACCAGCTCTTGAAATTAATGAACAACTCCTAACTTCATACTTGGTTCTACAGATAATTTGGTCCTGCCATTTGAACCACTGACAATGTCATTCAAGGATGTGAAATATTTTGTTGATACACCTCCGGTAATCATCTGCAGCTATACATCTTAGATTTTATAGTCATAACCTTTTGTATACTGATGAAAATAATGTCAACAATATATTAATTCATTTCCTATTTTCAGGAAATGAAAGAAAAAGGTTTCAGTCAGGACAAACTTCAGTTGCTTCATGATATTACCGGCGCATTCAGACCTGGAATTCTTACAGCATTAATGGGAGTCAGTGGGGCTGGGAAAACAACACTCATGGATGTCCTTTCCGGAAGGAAAACTGGAGGTACAATTGAAGGTGATATAAGAATTGGAGGGTATCCCAAAGTCCAGAAGACGTTTGCCAGAGTATCAGCTTACTGCGAGCAGCATGATATACATTCTCCACAGATTACTGTGGGAGAGTCAGTGGCATACTCAGCTTGGTTGCGGTTACCACCAGAGATTGTTCCAGAAACCAAAGCTGTATGTTATT